TCATATTCACAATTTTCTTATGCTTGTTCAAAATTTTTAGTAACCTATCATTTCCTTTCATTCTACCCAACTTGAATACCATCAAACCTCAAGTGAATGCTCCTTGATTTTTATGGCAAGGAACTCAATTTAAAACGTTGTTCAAAGGTTTCAAGAATTTTTTTTAGAATCCCACAAAATTCAATGATGAACTTAACTTTTTTTATGTACACACACCAAGTTCATCACCTAATTAGGATCTAATATGTTAAGGCTCAAAGGGGTTAACGAATACTCACTACTCACATGTGAGTTAATTTTGGATATGGTTGTGCTCAATATAAACAAATGCTTTGATCATTTATAATGCTTTCACAAAATCACAATAATCAAAAGATTAAGCATGAATCAAACGAATTAACAAAATTTTCAGTCATCCAAGCATTTAGTAAACAATAGAGGTTTCTCACAATGGGCTATGAACTAAAATTAGTCACAAATAAACAAAAATTGCAAGAGAATGAATGACATGTAAGTTGTACAAAGCCTAAGGTTCATAAACATATCATGTTCTAGAAAAGCAATAAACACAAACCATAGCAATGCAACTTTCTTTAAACTTTTCACACTACCATAACATTTTCTTGTGGAAACAATCAAATTTGAAAATTCACAGAATGCATCCTCAAGCTAATCAAAAACAAAACTTGAGAACAAACACAACAATTTCTAAACCTAACAAAGTCAAATGAAAACTAATAAACATATACTAATAAAATTTGTGAAAGTGAATAAGAGAGTTTTTCCACAAAAAAACAAGGCCCCCTAAACGCGCACAGGCTTGCTGAGTTTTTCAAGTTCTTTCTCTCATTCAATCTATCCACTCTCACCTTATTTTAACTATACTACTAAACATAAAACTGTACAAACTCAAAAACTATTGGGTTGCCTCCCATGAAGCGCTTGTTTCATGTCGTAAGCTAGACGCCTTATTTACGTACAAGCTCCTCCATGTTGCTTCATTCACCGGTAGTTACCAAATAAAATCTGCAACACTTGAGCAAACATAAATCAAAAACAAAAATTTGCACAAACACATACACAAACATGAAGGACAACACATATATACGATAAGTGAACAAACAAAATGGAAACAAATATGTACAATCACATGAAAACAACTATGGACAAGTATGCACAAAGCTTGAAAACATAGAAAGTATTGCAATGCGATTCAATATAAAAACCAATCCCTAGCAACGATGCCATTTTGTTGAAGCGGTAAAGCAGCAAGCAAAAATTAATTTAGTATCCAGTTTTGTCGTTTTCACAGTGATCAGTGCAAGGGAAAGAATGTCATTCGACAATCTCTACATCTTTAAGCTTGATTTTTAATTGGAATGGGAGTAAAATGCACAAAGAAAGCATATGAATGAGTAAATAAAGTACGGTAGAGAACTCGTCAGGAATGAAGTTCATTCACTTATCTAAAACATAAATCTACCAATCAGTTATACACAACCTAAATCACTCATCAATACCCACACGTATCACTTACAACAAAAGTTACGTCTAATACAAAGTTGAGAGAACAACCGCATCACTTCATCGATGATGTCTCACGTAACTCGATAACTCGGAGCATTAAGATTTGATACCCACGTAAATGTTAGATCTAAATCTATCTCTAGAGTTCAGAACCTAATAGATGTTCATCCTAGATCCAGATTCGAAGAGGATATGTCTACCACAACTCAAATCCAAACATATAATGAGTAAAGCATGAATAACACTGATGAAGAGTTGTAAAATAGATCGTATACAACACCATGATCAATAAATATACATACTATCAAAGTAAACTTACATACAAATCCCACAAATCAAAACCGCGTTGAACCCGCGCTAAGCGCGAGTGACAATGTTTTGTTGGTCAAAACTATATTTTGAAGCATCCTTTTTGGTTAAAATGAGTCCATACTTAAACCATGCATTATTACCTAGAAAAACAGATGAAAAACTGTCAAACTCAACAATATGTATAGAAAAACGTATATTACACACTATAATGTAAACTATACAAAATATACACAAAAATGAGGGATTATTAACGAAAAACCAACCAATCGAGCCAATAAGTGTCAATTATTCACATTAAAAATCAGTACAATTTAGCACTCATCAGAAACTGAATGTAAACCCAGTAGGGAATACATGAATTGGTATAGATATGTGATCATTTTGTATCTATCACAAAATAAATACTTATTTGACCCTTGTAACCAACCCACTTCTTCAAACTTCCATCATACCTAACCACCAGGTAACACTTAACCACAAATATTTAACACCCACAACAAATATTTAACATACAACCACAAATATTTAACATTTCATAACAAATATTTAACACTCAACAACCTTTCAACCCAACATAACAACCTTATACCCCAAGCCAACACTACAATCAACCAAACCCATCATTTAACCCAACCCCTTCAACACCCAACAACAAAACCCATTGTCTTCATACATCCAACGACAAACACAATCCACCACCCAATATAACCAATACTCATTCTCTCAAACTAACCCACAAGAACACAACTATCAAACACCCCAACCACAAGTCTCTTTTTATCCCTCACAAACCTTCACCTTAATTCATCTCAAGACCAACACCCATACACCCCCTACATGACTAACACAATGCCACATACCAACCTACCAAATTGGAGTAATGAGGGAACAAGATTAAGTTATGGCAGTGCGGTGGCGATACCAACCATGGACAATTTGAGTGATGATTTGGTCGTTGAATTCATGAATCCTATGAATGATGCAGGACCTTCTACTCAGCTCTAAAATGTTGATGTTGATCGTAGAAGGTCCACTAGAATTTTACAGGCTCTTGCGTGTGGAACGCACCAACACTTTCGTCTACCGGGACAACATCAAGGATAGATAGGAGTTTAATGTACTTTTTTAATTTTATGAATAAATAAATATTTATTTCAATTAATATTTATTATTATTTTATTATTATTTTATTATTATTTTATTTATTAATTATATATAGTATTAATTACAAAATTAATTAATTACATAATTAAGTTATTTATAATTTTATAATAATTATTATAAATATTATATATATTTATTATTTATTATTATTATTATTCATAATTCTTAATTTTTAAAAATTATATTTAAATTAATTAAAACATAATTTTTAAATACATAATTAATTAGTTAAAACACAATTACAGAAATTAATATAATTAAAATAAAAAAAATTAAATCATAGTCACTGCCATCCATTAAATGAACAACACCCTTTCATTTTCCACAATGCAGTACATTGAAAGTGTGACATCCTTTTTAAAAAACCCAATTTTTTTGAAACGACGGTTTGAAAATTTTGGTGAAAACTATAATAGTTTGGTATTTTGCTTCTAAAAATGTGCCAGGACAGATTTTTTTTGCCATTGGGTTGAAAATGTTGGTTATATAAAAAATTCACAAATTTACATATTTGTACTTTCTGGACTATAACATAGTGTACTTCTTTTCAGTTTCTCAATAGTAGTAGCACTTTACACTGTATCATTAATAACGTAACACGGTGGGCACAAATTTTTTCAAAAAACATCGTCTCTCATACAACAACGTGTTGTGTACTCGTCGTCTGAAACTCTCAGTGCATTAGCACACTTTTGTCCACACTTCACAGTTCTTCACACTATACTCTACTCACTATTTCTCAAAAAGAGAAAGAAAAATTGAAATTTCAACTCATCAACCAATTGCAAAACCCTAGCTACAAGTATTGGTGGATTCTACGGCAAGCATTAAATCCTCGTTAGACCGGTGCATGCAAGTAAACTACTACAAAAATAACACAACCACTCTAATTTGTTGTGCATCGTTGCATTTCACACATCAATAAAAATAAATCATAATTAAGTAGTGAAGAAAAATTTTAAAAGCGTAAAGTTTATTTTCATGATTTAGAAATAAGAGAAATACATAAACTATAAAGTTAAATTTATGTTTGGTCTTGTGGTCAAATTTTTAATTAAAATTACATTTAAAAATAAGTAAAAAATATTTATGTAAAGTTAAGTTGAAAAAAAAATTCATATTTAAAATCACATATAGATTCAAAATCTATCAACTTTAATTTTAAATTAGAATAATTTCTAAATAAAAAATAAGTTATGCTTAAAAACAACCAAAAAAAATTAAATTTAAGCTCTAAAAAAAGAAAGAACCAAAACATATACTATAAGCTCTTACATCACCGTGTCTTTTGCAAACGTGTCGCGGAGAAAAAATATATGTTAAATTAATTTTTATTTTAATTAATAATTTGATACGCCAATAGATTTGAAACTATACCTGCGTCCCACGATTAAAATCTAGACGGTTTAGAATAATTTAAAATTTATACAAATTTCAAATTATATTCCTTTCAAATTTATATTCCTATAAAATTACCAATTTATTTATTGATTTTACCTGAGCGAATCCGTGTATCTCGTTACTTGTAAGAAAATTATAACTAGTAAAAATCAAAGTTGAACACATTTTTCTGCAAATCCATAAATACCCTTTCTCCATATCTCAATGTTCTTTATTACCAAATCAAAACTCTCTGTGACTCTTCATAATTCTAAACCCACCCAAAAAGAATACCAAACTTTCTCTTTCATTTCACTCCGATTCTCACCTTCCGATAAGATTCCATTCCTTTCTTCCTTCGCCGGAGTTCCAATCGGTACGTTTCTTACCTTCAGTTCCATCTCCTTTTCCAGATTCATCTTCTTATGTTATCAATTTCATCACTTCGTTGTTCATTACTCGAATCACGTTCCAGTTAGGGTTTTCGGATTTTATCCTTTTCTGATCTCGATTCTAACTTGATTACTTTGTGTTTATCTTTTCTGTTTTGTTTTGTTGCGGTGATAATCTCGATGGTTCGAATTTGTCGTCGCGTTTTCAGCAGCTTATTGCACTATATGCTTCCTAGAAAGAGAGCTAGTGAAGGAGTAGTGATTCTAGAAGAAGAGATTAACAACAACAACAACGCAGGTTCTGCTAAGAAGGCTCGGATCGGTTCCACAGCTGCTTGTTCGGGTGAATCTACAGTGAACGAGAGTGACCGGAGCTTCAATAGCGGAGGCGGGAACAATAACGGTAACAGTAACAGCGCAGGGAATTTGATTGCAGCATCGACTATGGCTTTTGGAAATTCTAAACCACAGGAAATTGATGAGGATCTGCACAGCCGTCAGCTTGCTGTGTATGGCCGCGAGACTATGAGAAGGCTTTTTGCCTCTAGTGTTCTTGTTTCCGGGATGCGAGGCCTTGGTGCTGAGATTGGTAATTATTTCTTAAACTTACTCGTTCTAACTAATTTATGTCTTGATGTTTTGTGATGATTTATTTTTACTTGCTGTTCATGTTAGGCTGCTTTATTTGATAAATGAAGGTAGTGATTAATTGGAATTTGGAAGAGGAGTTTATTGTTTGTTTGAAGTTTATTTGGATTTGGATTAGTGTTTTAATACTTGGATTTGTGTTTTAATCCACTTGTAACAATAATTTTATGATACGCCCATGATCTTTTTATTGATAAACTCCCTGGGATAACTTATAAGTAAACGTATAGTTGACCATCTTAGAATAGCTTATTGAATTAATGTTTAGAGTGCATTTAGATATACAATTTATGCACGAGTTTTTTCTATAATCAAGATGGAATGGGGGTAAACTCTTCATTAGCTGTTAGCTTATTAGAGAGAGCTATATTGAGTAGCTTATGTAATAAGCTGAAAATAACTTATGAACATATTATAGGAAATTTTACAAGTATTTTCGGAACAACCTTTCTAATGTCCCCTTAGTAAGATCGAAACAAAGTAAACACTTGATCTTTGTGATTTATAGTAGATTGCATGGTTTATGTACACATCCAAATCCTAAAATGATTTGGATTATGTGATCTAGAATGGAAAGTAATTGCATAGACCCACCATCCTTTGTGGAGCTTTCACCTCTCCTTACATATAACAATTATTTTTTGGTGTTAGTAGGTTTGGTGGCTTGCTTCTATCAGCTAAAGAAAATAAACTGAAAAATAATTTATTATTCGTGCTAATAAATTTCACCGAAAAATCAATTTCCAGTTGTTCATATTCAGTGTTACAAATTTTATATCTATAACTTGGGATATTAATTTTCTGTATGTACGCTTATTACTAGAGATATTAGTGTTATTGCTTCTTTCATAAGGGCAACCTTGCTGAAGGTCCTCACTTATGCAGCATTCAATTTAAGACTAATTAATTGAGAGCTTTATGTTGGAATTTGAACCATTTTTCTTGCGATTTTTTTATTAACGGTTTCACAATAAAAACTCAAATCTGCCTGATTTGTAATACCTTGGATTAAAATTTTCTGCATGCAGCGAAGAATCTTATTCTGGCTGGTGTAAAATCTGTAACCTTGCATGATGAAGGGAATGTTGAGTTATGGGATTTGTCCAGCAATTTTGTTTTTTCAGAAAACGATATTGGTAAAAACAGGGCAGTGGCTTCTGTCAGTAAGTTACAGGAACTCAATAATGCAGTGCTTGTACTAAGCTTGACAACTCAGCTAACAAAAGAACAACTTTCTAATTTCCAGGTACTTCTACTTTTGCTTTCTGCTTATTTTTTAGAGTCCTAGTTTTTTCTTCCCAATGCATTTAGATGTATATCTTTAATATATCAAGTGATTATATATGACATTGTAGGAGTGAGTTTTATTTGCATGCCTTAATAGTGAAATGACAAACTTAACTCTCGATTTTACTAGTGATTTACGAGTTTATGATTCTACATTAGCTTAGTCTTAAAATACAAAATTTGCTAAATATGAGCTAATATTTGATTTAAGTATTTATGTGTTGCAAATTGCAGTATCTATTGATTTTCAAAAGTAAATTTACCTTTTCATATATTATCTGTTTAAAATTAATTATGCTTTATTATGGTGATGAAATGTTGAATTATATTATTTTCTAGACTCTCGAGTTTGACAACCTTGGTACTGACATACCTCTATATAGTTTACACTTGTGATTTATTTGCTTTTGCTAATATCTTAAGTAGGGATAGTTCTCGTGACTACAAAACTAGAACACTGCATGATTGTATGTAGAATGAGAATTGAGAATAGAAAATTGCAATGTGTAATTAATAAGTTATTGAATGAAGGATATTCATCTGTATTCAAAATTTGAAAGGAAATAGAACCTAGGTTGTTAATCTCGGATAATGGTGTGTTGTGCCGGACCCCCAAAATGCTATGGCGGTATAGTGGATAGCGGGATGACCGCTATTGTGAAGATAAAAACAATGTACATAGTAAATAGAAATTACAAGGTATATATAGTAAAATTTCCAACAGTGAACATATATTTCAACAGCATACCTATCCCATCAAAATGAGTTTCCATCAAAATCAAATTATAAAAGTATTCAAATAGAAACACTTGCAGAATTATTGTCATTGAAGTAGAAATAGAGCAACACAAACAAAATAGAACAATGGAAAACGGGAAGGTAGGGGAGAAGGAAGGCGAAAACGACTATGAACGGTGAAGAAATAGCTGAAAGGGGTGGCGAACGGCGGAGAATGGTGGAGGTTTGCGAAGAATACTGAAGGTTTGTGCAGAATAGTTGAAAATGGGAACACAGGGGAAAAAGGCAAAATACGATGGAAAGGAAGAAGCAAACACGAGGGATTAAATATTAGGACAAAAAAGTGTCGGAAAGACCAATATACCTTTAAAATATATTTGGGTTATTGAAATTGCTCCCAAAATGAGAATAGCTGCCAGCAAACCGCTATGACACTGCTATTGCGCTGCTACGACACTGCTATTTGCAGCTGCTTGTTGATACCTATCCCATCAAAATGAGTTTCCATCAAATCAAATTATAAGAGTATTCACATAGAAACACTTGCAGAGGATAATGATGCCATTATTGTTTTTAAAATAGAAATAGAGCAACACAAACAAAATAGAACAGTGGAAAACGGGAAGGTAGGGGAGAAGGAAGGGGAGAATGCCTATGAACGGTGAAGAAATAGATGAAAGGGGTGGCGAATGGCGGAGAATAGTGGAGGTTTGCAAAGAACACTGAAGAATTGTGCAGAATAGTGGAAAACGGGAGGGAACACAGGGGGAAAAAGGAAAATTATGATGGAAAGGAAGAAGCAAACACGGGGGATTAAATATTAGGACAAAAAAGTGTCAGAAAGACCAATATACCTTTAAAATGTATTTGCATTATTGAAATTGCTCCCAAAATGAGAATAGCTGCCAGCAAACTGCTATGACACTGCTCTTGTGCCGCTACGATACTGCTATTTGCAGCCGCTATGACCACTACTGCTGATAGCACTTTACAGGTCAATAGTGTAGCGGTGAGGGGATGTGCCACCATGCTACACCGCTATAGCGTCACTATGGCATGCTATTGACAACCTGGAATAGAACATTACAGCTATTAAGAAGCATAATAGGTGATCAACGTTCATTGTAGTCGGTATTTTAGTGGGCTAGGGTCTATTCTAAGGCGTACTAGTTATATTACATGTTCTGCGGAACGAGTGTCAAGAATAACATGATTGGAGCGGAGACAACTAGTGACATCTACTACCTTATTATGTTGCATGCTTTTATCACAAAAATAATTCTGATGTTCACTGTATTTTTATATATAATTGATGCAAATGTAAAGAGAAATAACACCACTCTATAGTAGATCTGATCAATTAAACTAGTCATGTTTAAGGAGCAAGTTGGAACTTGTCTGTTTCAGTAAAACATGTCCTCTTTTTGGAATTTTGTCATGTGTCCATTTGTTTCTGAGTTATTTGAATAAATATTAATTTGTTGTTTCATTATTTTGTAGGCAGTTGTTTTTACCGAAATCAGTCTTGAGAAAGCTGTTGAGTTCAATGATTATTGTCACAGTCATCAGCCTCCTATTGCTTTTATTAAAAGTGAGGTTAGAGGTCTTTTTGGTGCTGTGTTTTGTGATTTTGGGCCCGAGTTTACTGTTTTTGATGTTGATGGAGAGGAACCCCATACTGGTATAATTGCGTCCATCGGCAATGACAACCCTGCTCTTGTATCTTGTGTTGATGATGAGAGACTTGAGTTTCAGGATGGAGACCTTGTTGTCTTCTCCGAGGTTCATGGTATGAAAGAGTTGAATGATGGAAAGCCAAGAAAGATTAAGAATGCTAGAGCATATTCATTCACTCTTGAAGAAGACACCACAAATTATGGTGCCTATGAAAAAGGTGGTATTGTCACACAGGTCAAACAACCAAAGGTTTTGAACTTCAAACCACTAAGGGAAGCACTTGCTGACCCAGGTGAATTTCTTCTTAGTGATTTTTCCAAGTTTGACCGCCCACCTCTCCTGCATTTAGCATTCCAGGCTCTGGACAAGTTCATATCTGAAATAGGCCGCTTTCCTGTTGCTGGCTCGGAGGATGATGCACAGAAGTTTATTTCTATTGCCAATAATATTAATGGAAACTTAGGTGATGGAAGATTGGAAGATGTCAATCCAACACTTCTACAGCAGTTTGCCTTTGGTGCTAGGGCAGTATTGAACCCTATGGCCGCCATGTTTGGTGGCATTGTAGGACAAGAGGTTGTTAAGGCATGCTCTGGAAAGTTTCATCCACTTTTCCAGGTAACTAGTTTTTTTTTTGCTAACACTATATCATCAGGTATTTTTAAATATTATTTGTGGTGCAAATGAAATGAGCCCATAGGAAAGTACTTTACCATAATAGTGCTCCCAATTTTGGCAACCGTCTGAGTTTTATATGTTCAGATTGCTGCTTCGGTTGAGATATTTTTTTTGACACAGCCATGTTGAGATTTTTAGAAGTAGATATATGCATTTTCTTATGTCTTTGGTAGAAATAATTCTTGGGCATAGCATAATTATATTTTAAACAAAGACATTCTATATCTGTCTAACTTTATCCATACCTTGAGGCAATGTTACAAGTTTTCAAAACAGTTCCTAGATATATCATGTTTTAACTTCTATCAAAGATGTATTTTGTTTTAACTTCTGTTTCTCTTCTGACCTCTGCAGTTTTTCTACTTTGACTCGGTGGAATCACTTCCGACAGAACCATTGCATCCTAATGATTTAAAACCAATAAATAGTCGATATGATGCACAGATTTCAGTTTTTGGGCAAAAGTTACAGAAGAAATTTGAAGATGCTCAGGTGTTTGTTGTTGGATCTGGTGCACTGGGATGTGAATTTTTGAAAAATCTTGCCCTAATGGGAGTCTCTTGTGGAGGTCAAGGGAAGCTGACAGTTACTGATGATGATGTCATAGAGAAGAGTAACTTAAGTAGGCAGTTCCTCTTCCGTGATTGGAATATTGGCCAGGCTAAATCTACTGTTGCTGCTTCAGCTGCTGCATCTATAAACCCTCGACTGAATATTGTAGCTCTACAAAATCGTGTTGGCGCTGAAACTGAAAATGTGTTTCACGATACCTTTTGGGAAAACTTGAGTGTTGTGGTTAATGCACTGGACAATGTGAATGCAAGACTTTATGTCGATCAGAGATGCTTGTATTTCCAGAAACCACTTCTTGAATCTGGAACACTTGGTGCTAAATGCAATACCCAAATGGTCATTCCCCACCTAACAGAAAACTATGGGGCCTCAAGAGATCCACCTGAGAAACAAGCACCAATGTGTACTGTGCACTCATTTCCACACAACATTGACCATTGTTTGACATGGGCTCGATCAGAGTTTGAGGGTTTGCTAGAGAAAACTCCAGCTGAAGTAAATGCATATTTATCAAACCCAAATGAGTATACTAATGCAATGAGGAATGCTGGTGATGCTCAGGCTAGGGATAACTTGGAGCGTGTACTTGAATGCTTGGACAAGGAGAAGTGTGAGACTTTAGAAGATTGTATTACCTGGGCTAGGCTTAAGTATGTTTGTTTGACTATATATGCTTTATTTATGATATCTCATGTCCGTGCTGATTAGTTTTTTCTTTATGTCCTGCACTCAAACATGGTTTTTTATTCACAGGTTTGAAGATTATTTTGCTAACCGAGTGAAGCAATTAGCTTATACTTTTCCTGAAGATGCTGCAACCAGTACTGGAGCTCCTTTTTGGTCTGCACCAAAAAGATTCCCTCGTCCACTGCAGTTCTCCACCTCTGATCAGAGCCATCTCCAGTTTTTGAAGGCAGCCTCTATACTACGAGCAGAAACATTTGGGATCCCTATCCCTGACTGGGTCAATAACCCTATAAAGCTGTCTGAATTTGTTGATAGAATGATAGTACCCGACTTTCAGCCCAGGAAGGATGCGAAAATTGTGACAGATGAGAAGGCCACCAGTCTCTCTACTGCTTCTGTGGATGATGCAGCTGTTATTGATGATCTAATCGTCAAGTTAGAGAGATACCGGTCAAATCTGCAACCAGAGTTCAGGATGAAGCCAATCCAGTTTGAGAAGGTATCTTTTTTGCTTTTGTTCTGACAGAATTTTCACCATGTTACCCAATAAAGTTCTTTCTTTTTTCTTAAATTGTATTTGATGGTTTCAATTGGGAATTTTGGAAGTTTATATGTGCTTAGAATATCATATGGGTTCACAATACATCAATTTATGTGCTGGTGGTTTATTTATTTTCATCCAAACTGAGAAATTGTTTTTCTACTTAAAAATGGCAGGATGATGATACAAACTACCACATGGATGTGATAGCTGGGCTTGCCAACATGAGGGCACGGAATTACAGCATTCCCGAAGTTGACAAGCTAAAGGCCAAATTTATCGCAGGGCGGATCATTCCAGCAATTGCAACCTCAACTGCTATGGCCACTGGCCTTGTTTGCCTGGAGTTGTACAAAGCTTTGGATGGAGGGCACAAACTCGAGGACTACCGAAACACATTTGCCAATTTAGCTCTGCCTCTCTTTTCCATTGCTGAGCCTGTTCCAGCAAAGGTCATCAAGCATCAAGATTTGAGTTGGACAGTTTGGGACAGATGGATTATAAAAAACAATCCTACTCTCAGGGAGCTTCTTGATTGGCTGAAGGGAAAAGGTTTGAATGCTTATAGTATTTCTTGTGGAAGTTGTCTGCTTTATAATAGCATGTTTCCTAGGCACAAAGAGCGGATGGACAAAAAGGTTGTTGATTTAGCAAGGGATGTAGCCAAGATGGAAATCCCTTCATATCGTAGTCACATCGATGTTGTTGTGGCCTGTGAGGATGACGATGATAATGATATTGATATCCCTCAAGTATCCATTTATTTCCGCTGAGTTGTTTTTCATCCAATTGGTTGTGTCTTAAATTTATATTTAGTTAGAAAGACAATGCTCAACTTTAATGTTCTATTTCCGTAGTGCCTTCAGGCAAGTTGTCATTGACCATTCCACACTTCATATATGAATTGAAAAGCAACTTTCATTTATGTTGTATCATTTGTTTGCTTCTTGACTAATTTTGCAAGTTGATCCTTTGTTTGTTGAGATGGTGGATCGATGGTATGTCATCTTGTGCTTTCTTATCGCTTCTGGTTATATATTTATCGGTTTCTACTTTGAGTATAGGAAATGCATATGTAGTTTCATTGATTTTTTTGCTCACTTTTAGGAAATAGTATTTAAAAGGATTTTATAATTAAATGATTTGGATAAAATTATACTTTTTTTTAGCCAAATAAAAGGAGAGTTTTTTTTGCATAAAAACTAGAATTTTAATTTTTTTTTTAAAATTAAAGATAGATAATGATTTAAAAAAATTATATTAGAAACTATTTAAAAGGATTTTATAATTAAATGATTTGGATAAAATTATACTTTTTTTAGCCAAATAAAAGGAATTTATTTTTTTTTGCATAGAAACTAGATTTTTAATTTTTTTTTAATAGGAATCAGAGTAGTGGTTATAATGAGGGGGAGTAGAAAATGTTGAACTTCTTAACGCTATTATTTCTCAATTAAACTATCTTTTATAAGTGTTATTTTTAATTAATAAAAAAATATGATTGTTTGCTTGAAAAAGTTTACGTGTATTGTAAAAGAAAATTTCAACAAAAACCATTCATTTAAGCTCATCTCAATTGAGCTTTCGGTCCAAGTAAAATCAAGAACTTCCGTTGCAAACAAAATTAATACTAAGGTCAAAACTTAGAACTTTAGTTATGTAGATGGTATATAAGCATATTGTTGGAATCTTCTCAGTTTTCTCAAACTAAAAACAAATGTAGAAATGGGTGGAATAACATAAATTAACATTAATTATTGTTATGATATATATAAAATATTTAATATTACATAGATATATATTACATAAATTATTATTAATTGAATGTAATATTATATTTTATTAAGTGGTGGTTGAGGATGTTTCACTATCTTTAGAATATCTTCTATCATTCTTGCATCCTTCGCATCCACCTCGATCTATCTCGATTTGACCTTTTGTTTTGTAAGAATGAGATGTATTTCACACAACCTTTAAATTTCAGTTGTCTTAAGTTTAAATTTATTGAATTGTATTCTCCATTTATGTCAAATGAGAGTGGACGATAATAGAATTTCACAACTTTTCGATTGTTTGGGTATCATAATAAATTCTCTAATGAGGATTTTAGATCAACAAGATAAGTGATTTTTGCGAACTTAAATTTAAGAGGGAGTTTCTCTCCGTTGAAGTAGACAAATGTGAGATACAAATATTTAGATATTTTGTAGTGATTTTACTAACAACATGAAGAACACTCATATTTATACAAGTTTTATATCAATTTAGACCATAAAAATTCAATCTTATCTTAGAGGGTATTTCGAAGATGTACTTTTGAATTAACTCCGTTACATTTAGTAAATCACGTAAAAAAAGAGTACAAAAATGTCATTTTGAATTATCTCCTGTTAGTATTTTTTTTTTTTAATAAAATGGGGTGAGTCTGAAAGTACAATTTCGAATTAACCCTCACAACAATTGTTCATATAAAACCTCTGTGATAGAGACCATGTTTAAATTTGAAGTAGAAAAATGGAACAATTAGTAATTTATACAATTAATGTTGAATATAAATTAAAATGTATCAATACATATCTAGTTTTTGACAAAATCAATTTAACATTGCATTCAAAAAATAAGTTACTATCTAAATACGTTGTTAGATAAAAACTAAAATGCATCAAAACATGTGTCACCACCAAAATCTATGTCTATCAGTTATTTCGCCTTTACTTTTACTTATTTGATTCTTTTTCAATCTCGCTTAATTTGGTGAATTCTTCCACCTTATCCAAACATTTATCTGATCAAGTTTCAATTTTTTATGAAATGAGTTGTCCACTCCGATGCTTGTGGTATAGGACATTCCAGTTTCAAAATGTAGTGATTTTGAAAGCTATTCGATACATATAATGCGGCCGGTTGGATCATGAGGTAGACCACTTCGAAGTGAAAAAAATATTTCTGAGAAGTCATATCTTGTCAAATCAATACATGCATTATTATATACATTGACTATAAGATGACTTATTCCTCCAGTGTCAAACCGCTAACACAAGGAATAAATGTTCTTTTTTTCTTTTCCGTATAGCATTGTGTATGATTCCTTATGTGCCTTCAACTATTTGAGAAGTTGTTAGTGGACAAGTGTATGATTCTTCTCTCCTCTGTCAAACAAACTGAAACAACGTGTTAATTGTAGCTATTGTCACTCTTAACATCTAGAATCCGTTCAATGTATTTGTGCATACAAACCAAGACATCTTCAACGTGTTTACTATTGATAAAGGTAGTGAAGGAGATAGTTTGCTAATGAGATCACATTTGAATTTTTTTTTTTGAGATTTTGAAGTTGGAGAATAGGGAAAATGAGTGTCAACAAGTTCAAAATAGGACAAAGACCACATCGTTGAATTATCACTCTGTGTTGGTTTGACATTTTAAGGAACACCTTTTTTTTTTATCAGTTTTGAAAGTGATTTCAAATATGTGGTTTGTGGATAGACAACCTTTCTCTGCGGCTCTTTGATGTGCCGTTTTCATGTTGCCATCAACTTTCAAAAATCTCTTTTGAATCACATCCCATTTAGTCATGATGGATAAAATTTACCATCCTTCATAACACCATAATCATCATCAAACTGGAGCATTTTCTAGTGTGTAAACTTCATCCATTCATATATGGGTTTATCAAGTTTCATCTTCTTTAAAATTAAACAAGCACACAAAATATTGTACATCTTTTTAAGTGTAAAGTCGCACTTTGAGTTATATAAACCTACTTTCTATGCTTTCTTGACTTTGTGATAACTAAAATTCAATCCAACTCGAGATATATTACCCACTAACCGTGGATAAAGATTTTTGTCTCTAAACTTGTGTTTAAATACTGTAATGTTGCTACCAAATAATGTTTGCATCTCATTATGCTAATTTTGGATCCTTTAGTTCACGGAGTTCCAATCTCTATATAAATCACCTTCATTATTTCACAACCAACTCATCAATGTAGTATGAGCACATTCAACTCTATTAGTTGTTGTATTTTCAAAGTGTCTAATCTGAACGTTCCAAACACAAATAATCTTCTCCTTCACCTGATCTAGAATCGTACTTTCAATATTTTTCAAGAAATAAAGATTTTTCTCACACACCTTTATGAAATGTATATAGCTATTTTATATAAGAATTTATTATAACATTCCAGGCATCCATTATGTTTTTCAATATCAGATCAGCTTTGACCATTTTTTCATATTCACTCTTGATTTGTTTGGTCCCTACTGCAAACTTAAATCTACTTCTCATATTTTTTTGTTATGTGCTATCTATAAAGTAATGTATATGATGTAGGAAGCACCTTTGCAACCGAATTCATCAGTGCAAAATTATGATCGCTGAAAATAACCTTTGGCATATTTTCTTGGTCTTTCAACATAGTCTGACACATTTCTAAGCCCAAGTACTATTGTTCTCTTTTCACTTTTAAAAAATGCAAATCCAACTGAAAAAGTCATCTTTTTAAAAGTAACACCAATAATTTCCAGAAGTGGAAGCCTGTACTTGTTAGTCTTATATGTTGAATCAATAATGAGTACAATGTAAAATATGTTGAACAACTTGATGGAATCAAGATGATTCTAAAATAGATCTTAACAATTTTCTCTATCCTCACACACTTTGTAGCTAGATATATAATTATTAGCATCCAAAAGCTTCAACAAATATTGCATTTCTGTTCTTGGACCTCTTATCACCTTGTTGTTTTGGGCATAAGCATTGTATATTTTCTTTATATTTGAGATATTTTGAGGTCTTTTCTATTTCAAAGTTGCAAGTATATTTTTAGGCTGCTCCATGTTTAATGTCATGTTAGAAACATGATTTTTCTCTTTAGGATTAAGGCGACATGCAATGGGGTGACCGACTAACTTGTAACACAAATCATGATTATGTATACCACAAGCCACATTAAATATTCATGTATTATTTTCCATAAGGTACCCGCACAACTTAAAAGGACACTCACATTTCTTTGTTCCAGTGTCATCCCATTTCAACTTCCGGATATGTTTTATGTTTTTTCCTTTTCTTTCGCGTCTCATGGTCACAAATGCCTATATTCTATCATAACCATTATTTGACCTCCCGATTACAACACCGAACCCCAATTTGTTAGTCTCCGTGCGGATCCATTGGAGCATAAAACTTTTGTTGATTTGTAAATTACTTACCAACATCAACCTTATAATCAACCTGTTTAACATCTATAAACACAATAACTTTAGGGAGAACGACAGGGTGCACCATATCTAAGGCCAATCATAATAGAAAAAAAAATTCAAAATCATTATTCTACAATAATATGGAAATACATTTCCGTATTACATTCTTTAATAATCAATAACTACACTTTTGGACGCAACATTCATTTTTCCACATCAAAAATTAGATTCTAGTAAGCAATGAGGAAAGAAATGCATGTACATTATCTTAAATTACAAAATTTTCTTCTTCTTTTGATGTTGAAAAACAGAAGAATGTTATTTTGAAGTACAAAACATGATTGAGTAAGGAAGAAGGTTTTGGCATGGTTTGATGAAAAGTGGAGGTATGGTCATGAGTAAAGAATATGTAACTTGTAAATGCGCCTAAGAGAGGGGGGGGGGGGGGGTTGAATTAGGTTCTTAATAATTATTTGCAATCTTTTGCGGTTCTTGTTTCTTTTTCGGTTAGAATGTTAGGACTTGAAAATAAAGTGCGGAAAAGAAAAAGAGACACAAGAAATTTA